ATGTGCCAAACCAATCTGATCAATGTTCCAGCCAAAACATATTTCCACTCATTCCATACCAATCGTTCCAAAGTAATGAGACAACTCATAAAACTCCATATCATTTGTACGAAACTCAATATCAATCGTTTCAAATCCCACTTGAAACATACCAATCCCAGTATCACCCGTTTCATAGTCAGATGATGTATGAAACTCCATATAAGGGGGCGTTTATTAAACGCTTACCCGGTAAGTACTTAATAGGCAATTTTCCTTACCGGATAAACATGACAAGGGACAAGAATCTTAACCAGTAAGAGCGATGATAAGAATGGAGAGTCTTACCCGGTAAGTGAGGGTGACAACTCTTATCCGGGTAAGCGCTTACCAGGTAAATTGTTGCATATGATACGTTTTGATGTACTGCAATCTTACCCGATAAAATAAATTATAGTAGTCACTCTTAACGGTAAGTGCTTACCGGGTAAGCATTTAGGTAAACGACCCCTAAGTCGTACAACACTCTATATAAGTCATACACAAATTGTTCGATGTACCAATACCAAGATTTACCATCTGATTATAGCATTCGTATTTCTGAAGTTTCTACCATAGAATATGGTGCCAATTTAGAGGACACTGAAAATGCGTATGAGAAATATAAGGTTCATCTTGATCCTTATTATGGGGCTGTTTCGGGGGATTGTTTGTATCATCCCAATATAGATGAATATCTGGGGCTACAAATAGATAGTAGTGATAGCGAATCTGATACGGAAGATAAAGAAGGGGCGGAGGAGGAAGATAAAGTGGGTGTTGGTAGGGGTAATACTAGTGATCCGGTGGGTTGTAATTTATTTTGAGGCATGCCTTCCCCATTACGAACGCAAGTCCCTATAGTGTAGCCTAAAGAACCGACTCCCAAATATCGACGTTCTAAACGAGTCAAAGTTGGTAAAAATTTTCAAGAGTAAAGAAAAATTGAAACTAGCCCTAGGACTGAAATGTCTTGAAGAAAGTTACCAGATGAAAACCACCCGCTCCACGTGATCTAGGTTTGAAGCAGTTTGTATATTAGAAATGTGTGAATGGCGAATAAGAGCAACCGTAATTAATGGTACGACGTTGTATCAGGTTCGTACATTTAAAGACTTACACACATGTTCACAAATGCAAGTGAATCCCAATCACCGTCAAGGAAACAAGAAGGTGTTAGGTCATATACTAAAAGATGCAATAAATGAGACAAGTAGAGTATATAAGAGACATGACATCATTGTCGATATGAAAAACAACTACAAAAATCTCAGTTAGCTATATGCAAGTTTGGCGTGCAAAGTGTTATGTCATTCTCCTACTAAGAGGTGACCCGGAGGAATCGTTTTCCTTACTCCCGGTATACTGTTACAATTTGGAAAAAGCTAATCCAGGGACTGTGACGAAAATCGAGACGGATGAACTGGTACGGTTTGAGCGTTTATTTGTCGCCATTGGTTGTGCGGTAAGAAATTTTTCATTGAAATTATATGTATATATACACATTATTTTTATATATACTCATTTTGTTTGATCGTTTTCATTTTTTACAGATTCGATCGTTTGTGAATCACTTACGACCCCTGATTAATAGACGGTGCTTATTTAAAAGGTCCTTACTTAGGTACCATGTTTTTGGCGGTGGGTATGGACGGAAACAATCAAATTTTACCCATTGCTTACGGGGTAGGCAAGACAGAGAGTGGGGAGTCATGGACATGGTTTTTATCCATGTTGAAAGAATGCATTGGTGTGCCGGAAAATCTGTGCATCATATCTGATCGTGCTGCTTCCATCAACATGGCGATTAGAATTGTATTTCCTACCGCAAATCACGGGCTTTGTTGTCGACATCTCAAAATGAATTTACGATTTAGCGCAAAAAAAGACAAGTTGTTGGGAGAGATGTTTTGAAGGACCTGCAAAGCTTATACGGTGGAAGATTTTGAACAAAAGTTAGCTGAACTTCGTCAAGCTCTACTATTCAGTGCAAGAAAAACACTTGACGATGCCGACAAAACGAAGTGGTCAAGAGCACATTTCTTTGGAATGCGTTACAATGTCATGACTTCCAATAGTGCGGAGTCCGTAAACGCATTGTCAAGGTATGCACGACGCCTTCCGATCTCGTTGCTGATTGATTTTTTCCGCATCTCACTGCAACAATGGTATTACGACTGTCGCAACGTTGGAGGTAAATATATAAACAAATACATATTTGTTTTACGTAAAGATTATTAACGTTAATGAGTTATACGTTATGCAACCTCACTTGAACATGAGCTTACTCCGTGGGTGGAGGAAAAAGTGATTAAAAGAATTAACAAAAGTGCAACATGGACAACACACAATTTACAAGCACCGTGTTTGAAGTAAGAGATGGCCATAGGAATGGTGTTGTTGATCTACTGCTACAGACTTGTAGTTGTAGGCAATGGCAACTGTCTGGTTTACCATGTGGTCATGTGATAGCAGTTTGCAGGAGGACTGGAATGACAGACACGAATTTTTGGGCGACAAATTACTACACGACGCAAATTGATCGAGCTACATACTTAGAGGTAGTAAATCATGTTAGTCCTTCTGCAACATGGGAATATCCTGCTGAATATATGACCGTGAAACCACCTCTTGTGGATAAAAACGAGGACATTGACAAAGTACCAATGAACGCATTCCTTCCCAAGGAGAGGTCGTATATGAGAAACAATGTAGTAGATGCGGTCAGAAGGGACATAATCGTCGCGATTGTCCAAGTACATTACCAGCGGATGAAGATGCTATGAGAGCAGCTAGGAGGGCATCCGATAGCATGAAAAAACCAACAACACACAAATTTGATTTAAATAAACCTACTAGGTGATTATGTATCATTTGTGTTTTTTATCGAAGTCCTAAATTTGGGGTGTTACAACTACATTGCATATGTGATTTTTTGATATTTTGCATGTTCAGTTTTATAAATTAAATATTAAAAAAAATTAAAAAAATAAACTTTTTTAAAAAAAAATCGAACTTTTCAAAATAAAACTTTTTCTAAAAAAATTAAATTTTAAAAAGGTGTTTTAAAAAATTAAAATTTTCTAAAAAAAATAAAGTTTTCTACAAAAATAAAGTTTTCTAATTTTTCTTTGAATAATGTTGTATTTGAAAAGATGAAAGTAAATAATGTTGTATTGGGAAGAGGGAAACTGAATAATATTGTATTGGGAAAAAAGAGAATAAATAATGTTGTATTAAGAAGAAGGAGAATAAATAGTGTTGTATTGGGAAGAAGGAAAATATTAAATTTTCTTATTAAATATCTAAAATAAAACTAAATTCATTTTTATAAATTTAATTTCTTTTTTAA